AGCCAACATCTGTCGTTCAATAATGATGCAATTAAAATCATGAGCCGTAAAACTGGATGATCCACTTTTCAAAGAACCTTTTAATTAAAAACTTTTCTCTTCAGTTTAGCGTAAGTCTATTTCGTGAGACATACTTTGCAGAATGATACTTTTCTCATATTTGGCAAGCGGAGTTTACTGAATATGATAAGATTCTGACATCTACATGCCAAACATTCACGTGTGCCACTTTGTAAGCTGACATCTTAATGGTGTTGGCATTTCGAAGGTAATAACACTATTCCCGTTTTCATTAACAACAAACTGGAATTTCCCCTCTTTTAAGGCAGCTATTGTCTACTAGAATTTCACCTTTCATTCTTCTGAGTTATAGTTTTCTGTTTACTCTTATGTTGTCGTAGAATAAAAAGAGTGTTTTTAATTATTAATGCTACGCTCTGTATTAATTTGACTAAACTAATTGGTTTATGGAATGTTACTATGAAGAGAAAAAAGTAATTGCTTTAAGAACTAAATCTAAAGTTTACTTTTATTCTGCATTTCACCAGATGATTGCTTGATGATAATTTTTTTTTGCATATTTTATATAGAGGTTATAGAACTACAACAAATCTATTTTTTAAACACAGCTGACTAAGAATTCTAAGTAGAGCATGCGTGTACTGACAATTTTAAATTAAATATTGCAGAAAAGAACAAGTCAGCTTAGTATTGTGATCAAGGGAGCATCATATGTCTTAACAAGAAATTGGATTCTTAGATTATGTATGCTGTTTAGATATTTATACCAAAAAAAGTTAGAATTAACCACTAACTTCTTAAGAATGATGACGTCAATGATTTAATCCATTGGTTTTTTTTCTGAACTCACCCACTGCAACAGTGCACAGAACATGAACCAAAAAGTGTAATGCTACTCGATTGACTTTTTATCCACTCGCAAAATCCAAAATAAATAGTTTTTTTTTATTTCAAAGTCAACTTTAGAGACATTTTCGAGAAAAGCTAGAATGTTTCTTCTGAACGTTTTAACATCTCCTAGCCAGCAAGTACTAAATTATCACAATATGAGAACAGCGAAACTCTGAAAATGTAACGTTGCAGATTCTATGGAGTTGTTTTGTGGTAGTTTTTCATCACATTGAATAGTTATCGTTGCTATATATAATATGCTTCTAGCATTGAGATTATATTTAGATTCAATTCATTAATGATAAAAATAAAAAAAACGTAAATATGAATAATTCGACTAAACATAGAGTGTTGGTTAAAAATACGTTCCACAATGGTTTAATGAGGCTGAAATGTTGTTGTTTTTAATAACATACCGTGTTTTACAAAAGCTAATAGTAATAAAACAAAACAAACAAAAACACCCGATAATTACATTTGATTTTGGTTTAAAGAATAGGGTAGACTTGAGAGGATTAACGTGAGCGTTTTGTATATGCTCTTTGTTTCTACTGTTCAACTAACTTATTGCATGTTGGGAAATGTTTAGGTGGCTAAATATAATGTATATTTTGTCATGTCTTTGGAGATCACAGACACACAGGAATTATCATAATTAATCCTGCACGTTTTGCTCTATGTACAGAAATACACAGCAGAAAATCTCTTCAGAGCATTCTGGATGAGTTGCCTACGATGAATCTGTAAGAGTTTGATGGGAACGTAGTAAAAATCCATATATAAAATCATAAACGTTTGAAAATAAGATTGTAGTTGAGACTCTTCTTCGTTTTTAGAAATGTACAGAATAAAAACAAATCACTGTTAACCTAACATTTTAGTATCATTCGAACTGAAACTCGAAAATTTTGATTTTAAACTTTGAAAACTTGATTTTAGATTTTGACATCTCAAAAATTAGACAATTGAGATATCATAATTTTATTATTACAATGAAGATATATGGCATACAAAATGTAGCAAATTATCCCGAAATCATCGTAGGTCTAAGAAGAACAATGCTTCACATTATACATTTGTCAAAAAGATATTCATTTTCAAAACAATGATAATACGATTTGTAGAAATTAAACACAATCGGAAACTGAAATCTGGTCGGAATTCTCTTTAAACGTGTTTCTAAAAGAATAACTCGAATAAACAACAACAACATAAAAACAAAACAAACAACAACACCATAATTACCTCTACATTCCATTTACTCCATAAAATTAATATTAATCGAAGTACAAATAGCTGAATAAAAAACGAATTTGAAAAGGTGGATATTATCGGAGAGGAATTTCATATTTAAACAGGATATTGAAGATGAATTTCTCTTATTCCAATTAATCAGATAATCTATAGTTACTACTTAAATACTAAGAATCCATCTATTTTTTATTTACAGAGACATTCTCAGTTTCAGAATTTTAATTTTTTGTCCATAATATCTCTTGCGTTTGATTAAGGTTCTTCTTTGAAAAGGTACAACAGAAATATCTATATATATTTCATGAATACAAAAGAAACATTTCTGTCGACATGGGGCACATTAAAGAAGACTTCTGAGTTCAACACAAAGAGAAGAAAGGTAGTAATTGCCAGTAGAGAAGCCTTGCTCATTCAGTTTTGTGGAGAGCTCTGCAAATTTTTCTTTTTACATTTAATCGATGGGGAAAAGGATGAGAAGAAGTTTGATTAAGTTTGCTTATATACACTCACACCCCGGCTGAATTCATCAAAGTTACTCCCAATTCCTGATCCTCTGCAGAGTAAGAAAAGCTCGCGACGCTGGTGTGAAAGATTAGGGTGTGTTTCTATTCTTTATGTCTGACTGTCGAGATGTTATAAAAAGGTTAAGTTGCTGATGATCAGGAGAGTCTTGACAGGCAAACTTCATAATCGAACTCCACCAACGCCCTTACAGTACCAACACTAGAAACAAGCTTAGGTAATCTTGTGCACTAGGACAAAGAATCTTATTAGTTGTTTTAAACTAAAGATTCCCTCACAGAAGTGTTCTACAATATTTAGTATCTTTAAGATATTCGTAAACGTGACAACATATCGAACTGTGTACTGAGCTTTATAATTGAAAGTTGTTCCAGTAAATGAATTCAGCTCCTTGACATTATTGTGGTAATAAAATGTTCAATTTGGTCAAAAATTTAAATTAGAAACATTCTGTATGTATGGAATTGTCGTTTGTGATTGGCTGAACTGGATTGTACAAGAAGAGACTTTCAGGGAAAATCCAGTTCGTTAAGTGGGAAGAATCTAAGATATTAGAATATACATTGGAATATATTATGACATTCTACAACGAAACAGTACAGGAGATATATGTAAATATATTATGACATTCTACGACGGAAAAACGCAAAGTAAACCTGTACATATATTGCGTCAATGCGACCGAACACCACATTATGACGGAATAACACGGGACGTACATATAAGTATATTATGACACTCTACGACGGAATAGTACAGGATGTGCATGGAATGTATTATGCCATTCTACAACAAAATAGGACAAATTGTGAACAAATGGCTAGAATTCCTACAGTGGGAATTTAAGAGTCGATGGTTCGCGCCCTGTTACCGCAAACTCGCGCTTGCACTTTTGAATCGTGGGTGCGTGACAATATTGACTATGAAACTTTACTATTCGGTCAAACAAGAGCTGGTTAACAGTTGGCCGTGGGTGCAAATGATCCTTCAAAATAGAGAACGGTTTGTGCAGATAAGCCTTCTGTAACTTTGGAGAATATTGATAATGATGATTTATTATAGCACTTTTGTTGCATATGGAATGTTTACCTAAAGCGAAGATTAAATGAAGTTATAACTTTGTTCACTTTCAAATCAATATAATGTACTAGTTTATTACTTGCAAAAATAAATTTACTTTGGGCGGAACAAAAATTTGAATTGGAGAAATTTAGTCACTTTTTAGTTTTACAAAGCCTTCTAATTGTTTATTTATTATTTTTCTCTGTTCATTTAAGGTTACCTTATTCACTTATTTCCATACTGGAATAAAAAATCTCTTGAATCTGAAGTTCCGACAGAAGCCCTTGCGGAAATGCAATAAAACCGTGCTAATTAAGTCTTTTTCACTTGTTTTTATCATCAGTTGACGCGACAAACATAAAACTAATCTTAAGAATCTTTAGAGCGTCCGTTAGCTCTTAGCAACGGACTTGGAATACATCTGAAATCTGAACTCATAACTTGGTAAAAATTACCCTCCCTTCTTCACGTATCATATTTCAGAATTTCGAGGAAACAGATATAGTTTCGAGAGATATCAAACAGTAAAAAAAAGAAATATATAATTTTTTATTAATTTTATTTAAAAAAGCAATATTTCACGGAAACATACGAGATTTAGAACATTTGGTTTAGGACATTATGACAAGTTGCTGACCTACTTGCGAATTCTAATTTTGAACTAGAATAAAGTTAACTTGTTTGACCGTATTATGTGATTTGTTTGTCAATCTTAATGCACCCATAATTCCAAACTGATGAACGCGTTTTGCGGCAACCGGACGTAAACCAAAGATCCTCGGTTTCAGTTCGAGCACGCTAACTACTAGGCCATGCCAAACCGATTGATTTCTGTAGAATAAAATACTAGTGACATGATGAGTATGTGAGAGCAATAGTAAATCGTATGTGTCGACTTACAGTTTCAGTAAAATAAGTCAAAGATTATGACCTGATCTACTTAAAGAGATTTTCATATGACAGTAAACAGTAATAATGGGTAGAGCGCTGATTTAAAAATAAATTAACTACTTTTATATTTAAAGACAGCAACGATCAAAGTTGTTGGTTTCTCCGTGCATGTTTACAGAGCAGCTGCTATGTGTTTTCAGCTGGAATAAACCTAATAGTGAAATCAGTCTAAGGAAATAACTGAACTCACAAATCAATATTAGTAGAAACGAATTCTAATTTTGAACATTTACCTCTTTTTAAAAATAGAATAAGCTGTCGCTTAGCGCCCTCTTCTGGAATTTATGGAGAAAAAGAATTCGAAATCGATTGAGAGGAGTTATTCGTGACAGAACAGGTTCAGGAGACGATCATTTGCACTCTAAACCATAGAACGTTGTTACTTACTCCAAGAGATCAACGTGGTAAACATTTCTTCTCGAACGGATGAAAACTCTTTTCTTCAGAATACATTCCCAGACTGCTTGAAGTTCTGTGCCAGGCACGACTTTCAACTAAGTAACATTTAAAAGTGCATGCCATTCTTTATATAAAACACATTATGACTTTACAACCTTTTTTTACACTATTTTTGCTTTGGTTCATCAAAACGAGAGCAGAATTCGAACAAAGTCCAGCAAATGAAAAGAAACCTTATGGTAAGTAAATAGCAATGATTATAATGTATTAAGAATACAACAATAAATAACACAAACAAGTCATTTGTTTCACGAGCTCATCGCATTTTATAATATTGAGCATATTTTTCAAAAATTGTTTGGAACTATTTCATGTATAATTCAATAAATCTTCTTTAGCCAGCATAGGTAATAGACATATTTACGTATTCTACCATTTAAGCAGTGTGATATTGTTCATGTGTTTCTCTGTTTCATTAGAAAGTTTTTTAATCAAGTATTTATTTTCGCTTCACGCATAATATCACAAAGGAAAACAACTTTATAGTAATTGTTTCCTGGATTTATTATTCAACAGATAACATTTTTCAACTCAAGTATCTCTCTAAAATATCGTAAAAAATATTTACAGGATTTTTTTTCTTTTACATTGAACAATATAGTACTATAATATAGTAAGTAATTTTTACTGAACTTTGTTTTTTAGATTGGATAATATAGTGCTATAATATCGCAGGTGATATTTACAGGATCTTGTTCTTACATTGAGTAATGTAGCACTATGACATCGCAGGTAATATTTACAATACTTTATTTATATATTGAACAATACAGTAGTATATATAGTAAGTAATTTTGATTGAACCTTGTTTTTTTACATTGAATAGTATACTATCATAATAACGCAGGTGAATTTACAGGATCTTGTTCTTACATTGAGTAATGTAGCACTATGACATCGCAAGTAATATTTACAATACTTTATTTATATATTGAACAATACAGTACTATATATAGCAAGTAATTTTTATTGAACCTTGTTTTTTTACATTGAATAGTATACCATCATAATATCGGAAATGAATTTACAGAATATCTTTTTTTTTACACTGTATTTGTCAAGTATTTTTTGATATTCATTTAAACGCTGCCTTTCACATTTTCAGTGGTGTTAAAAGTTTCGATTTGATGCAAGTTTTATCTTATCTTGCAATCATTATAACTCTTGAAAAAGTTATAAGGATCTCTGTTACAAGAGGCTGGAAAGTACTTTGGGTTTTTAATGTTTTGCTAATTGTTTAAAGTTTCATTGGTTAGTCAAGACAAATATAATGAAAATTGTTTATTAAATACAGTATAATTTTTCTGTAATTCACAAGATACATGTGAAAACAATAATCTATGCACTGTTTGCCTCATGTTCACATTTCTTGTTCTTGAACTTATCGAACTATAACGGAATACCATTTTATAGAAGCAATTGGTTCTTCAACAAGAGTCACTCATGAGCGGCTAAACAATGAATTAAGCTTGGATTTGAGTATTAACATAATGTGAAGGTGAAATCACAAGATCAGGTTAATCCCTCAAAATTCATCAATATGATCAGAGATTTTCCAGGGATTTTCATAGAAACATGAAAACAATTGAATAAACCGCCGGCTACTTCGTCCGACGAATAGATTTAACATTCGAAACTATCACAACCACACTGAGTACCCAATAGTAAGTATGATGAATGATGTTACAGTTCTTCTGCTCTAAAATCTTCAAGTTAATATGAAAAAATATATCACAAGTCTTGGTTATGATACGTATTGTCTTAATTCAAAACGATAGAATGTACTTTCATAGTTCAGCAATCAAAAACTAACCAGAAACAGAAGAAAACTGACTTTTTTGGTCACTTAGAAATAATTAAAACGGATGTATCTTCGTTGGTTAATTCAGTAAAACTTTAAATAAACGTGTCGTGAGTTAGGTAGATTTTAAACAAAAAAAAAGAAACATTTGGAAAGTACTTGCATTGGTCAGTCAAACATAATTAAAATAAAAAATAATAAAAGGAATATTTATTGCTAAATAAGTCAGATTAAAAAATAAATTAGCCAAACTGGCAGAATTAGAATGAAGATAAGATAGACTGCTTTCTGAATGATATTTTTGTGGATGTTGGAATAAACTTTAATTACAACATGTATCTTCGTTTGTTATTTCAGCGAGATTAAAAAAAATGTCGTGAACGTAGGTAGATTTTAAACAAAAAGAAACGTTGGAAACTGTTTGCATTGTTCAGTCAAACATAATTAAAACACAAATTAACAAAAGGAATATTTATGGATCAACAATTAGAATAAAAAACATAGTCAGCTTTGAAGAATTAGTATAAAGATAAGATAGACTGTTTTGCTATTGATAATTTTGGTGGTTCTTGAAATAAATTTATATCTTTATTAGACGACTTAGAACTTAAAGGAGGTTAAGACGAGTAAAGACGTTTTCTACTAGTATTGTAGGTTAATTCTGAGCAAATTACAAATCAAGAAGAAGGTCACGTTTATTGTAATTAGACGAATTTTATGGGTAGATATGTTTTTGGGTTAGTTAAATATAAATTTAAAAATAGCATATAGAGAACCTCTTCGCTAATCTGACAGAATGAAAACAAAGTGAAAGACAAGATATGATTGGTTGGTTACTTTTACAAAATACGAACAGCCGAATATAAGGAGAGATATCATTGGTTAGTTTTAATACTAAGTTGATTGCTCGTTAGTGAATTGTAAGAGCATTTCTATGAACAATCTATGAGTCCTTGAATTGAGCTCAAATGTAAGTCGTTAGTTTTTCTGAAAGTTTTTTTCTTACTTATCTTTCGATAGAAACTTTTCTACGTGAAATAGAAACTATTATTCGACAGCGTTTCTTTCGGATATTTGTTGTTTGTTCACATTCCGATCCCAGGGAGAGCATGCGAGATGCGTAACATATTGAACGCATTAATACTAGTGGAAAATTGAGGAGCAAAGAGTTTTAAAACAACAAGAAACTAAGTAATTCCAAAGCACTTTGTAGAAAAACATAAAATAAAATTGACTGGAAATGCACTGTGCAAGTTGATTAGAGAATTACTTATATGGAATAATACTTTTACTTTGAAACAGGAAAGTTCATTTTAGTCTTAACATTCATATTCAGTTTAGAGTGTGTATCTAATTGAATTTCTTTATGTGAACATAATGAAAAAGACATAAGCGAAATTATTCATTAAAATATTTTTTTTCACGTACAACGAATATTTTATGAATTCACTTTTTTTTTCAAGTTTTGGTTTTTGCTATACTGACACCAGATGTCCTTTGTTAGATCTTACACACGCGATAATATATGACTGTTTATATTAACTTTTACAAAGTTGGTTTGGAAATCATTGATTTTAGTACAGTTTTTCATTTTTACAAGCCTGGGAAAAAGAATAGGCTGTTTTTGGATAGAAAATGTGATTTGGTGATAGTAAACAACAGAATAGAAAACATTTTTTTTTGCTATATTCCGTTAGACAAGTTATCAGGATTTCGATAAAAACCATTGTTTCTGTGGTTTCCGATCTAATCTTAACCACAGACTCAGGCAAATGTGAATATAAGGATTTTTCTCGTGTTATAGCAAGCACTTGAAAGTAGGTTGGTCTAAGTAACTATTCGTAACAATTATAAATAAAATGAATAAGAGTTTTACCTTTATAATTCCAAAGATGTAAAAAATAAATTATAAGAAATGAAAACTACCTTATATATAGATCTACCAGCAAAAACAAAAACAAAGAAATAAATAAACACTCAAATAATACCTAGAACACTAAAATCTTATTAAGGCAGACAAATAGCTAATATCTAGAACAATAACAACTTATTAAGGAAAAAAACTAAGTAATATCTAGAACATGAACAGCTTATTAATTAAGACAAATAAGTAATATCTGGAACACTCAAAACAGAGGAAGTCAAGAAAGCTATACAGTTATTGAAAGAGCATCTACAGAAGTTACTAAACACCCAATATATAGTTATGAGGAAAAATATGTATCTAAGATGTTGAACACCCACTATATAGTTCTGAGGAAATACACCTGCCTAGGGTGTTGAACACTTATTATTTTATTATGAAGATGGACAAATCTTTATAATTACTAATGTTATTCTAGTTTGTATTTAACTGTATAGAATGTTTTGCTCACGTCGTTCATAACCAGTAATCTAACATGTAAAGTATTTTGTTTTCTTCGAAGTTTCGAATGTAAGTGTTTGAAGTTCATGACTATAATCCTAGTGAAGTGTTTGCTCATACAACTACCCAAATAGCTCAGACTTTTATAAAAATTTGATGGATGTCTTAGATCTTATCGTGGATATATAATAAAGGGGGCTAGAAAAATGCAGTTTTTGTGGTGCATGTAGGGACTAGTGATGCAGGGAACGGTAGGTCAGAGGAGCTAATTAATAAATACAAGGGGTTGATAAAGGCATTTAAAGAAAAAGTCCAAAGCTTAATTTTGTCATAGATTTTGCCCAGAATTAACTGTGGGGATGAAGTTATAAGCAGGTCAGTAGGGCTAAATTCTAGGCTTAAGTTAGTATGTAAGGATGAGCAGACTGACTGGTTGGACTTGTGGAATCAATTCATGGAAGAAAGGAGCTTTTTGTAATGGATGGTTTACATTTAAATAAGATATGGGTTGGTTTGTTTGATACGGCTATTGACTCAGCTGTAAGGGAAGTTTTAAACTAGAACTAGATAGTGGTGAGGGCCAGGAAAAACTAAATGCAAAAAGAATAAGAGGCACGGAAAAATTTAGCATAAGAAATGAGTATAGAGGTAATTATAAGGGTAGGCTTAATTGTTAATATTGTAATTTTAGAAGTTTAAAAAAAAATACTTGACTTTAGAGCATTGGTAGTAATGGAGGATTTTGATCTAATAGAAATAACTGAAATATAATTAAACATAGATGATTTTGATGGCAAAAATTTTTTTTGAAATACAGGATTACAGGCTATTTAATAGGAATAGAGTACTAAAAAAGGGGAAGAATGGCTTTATATGTAAAATGTGAGTTACATCCTGTTGAATTCATTTGGGTTTCTATTAGTGGAAATAAAGGGAAAGCGCTTTTAATGGGAATTTGTTACAGACCACCAAATAATACTGATGAAATTAGTGAGAAACTTTACAATGGATTA